TTGACCAATGATGTGGATATGCTCAAGGTGGTATTTTTTTCTTTCGATTCTATTTGTTCACCAATTGATTCAATTTATTTTTCATATATCTTGTATCGAATTATATATCTTTCATAATGCGTTGGATGTTTATTTCTAACTCGTTTTTGACAAATCTGACTCTACGATAAATTCCTGCATTTTATATCAGACTTTCTTGACGATGTGTCGAAACTCTTCAACTTCGTCTTTAATCTCATTCATTTCTTTTGTATTGAGTGGATGTCTTTTGTCATTTTTCCTTTCACATTCTTGTCCTGTCAGTTTAAAAAATCTGTTCACAAATCTGTTTTCCGTTAATCAGCTGTCGCCCCCATACGAACGACAACTCTCAGAAGTTGAGAAACTTGTGCGAGCTAAGGACTAACGAGGTCTTACCTTTTAACGTGTTAAGCCTAACAACGTGTGATTCTATTATTTTATAATTTTTTCAAATTATGATGCGGATATAGGGCAAAATGTTAATTCTGACAGCAGATGACAATGATATCATTGGTCTAATTGAAAAAAAAATCCAATTCCATTTAGGTGTGTTGTGGGAAAAATTCTGATATTTCTGATTTGAATGCTAGTACTGTATATTTAATATTCCTCAGAATACAAGAGAATTATAACTTGCAAGGTACCTGCCAAAGTTTCAAATGTTTTCCCATAAACTTTGAGTTATAAGATGTTCTCCCATCTCTGAATCCTATCTCTGAATTGCAATAAACTATGCAGAATTACTTCTGGTCGAATATTTGAAATATTGTTTCCTAAATTGAATAATCATCCAACAAAACATCAATATATTCCGTATGAACTTGTTAGATATGAAAACTTCATACAGGATGATTCTAATTGCGGTTAGGAATAATTGAAATATTGTTTCTTATATAGAACAGAGTTTGCTAGATATACAAACTAGGCATTGTTAATACAATATAACGAATGAATAATGGCCTGCAGTTTGCACTTGAAGATGCCCCAGCCAGAATTCTGATTACCTTTTTCTGAATAACAAACACTTCATCAGCTTCAGCTGATAAGCCCCACTGTTCAAGACCATAGGAAATCACTGACTAAATTAAACTGTGGTATAAAAGCATGAGAACATCAAAAGAGACTGTTTGTTTCAACCTATGAAGTAAATATATGTATATGTTTACTGAGCTTCAGTTTGACACTGTCAACATGGAACCTCCAGGTGAGTTTATTATCAATATCATCACCCAACAATTCAGTACAATCAACTTGATGTAAAGTTTCATTATTTTATCTTACCAAATAGCTTTTATCAATAGTTATATTTTTAGTAACAAAGTTGAGCATTAATCTACAAGAACTGATGAAAATGACTACCCCCGCTCGGATGCAAGAATCCAATCATTTCCTCATACACTCCCGAACTCTTTCAAAAACACCAGTATCGTTTCCGATTGCGTTACACCCAGTAAATTGAATGTCTGCAGCCGTTTGTAGTAATCGGAAAGTGGTACCAACGGAATTGTTAGATTTTTTATTACGTGGTAAGTCCACTGGAGTACGCTATACTTTCATTTCGGCTACGTTAATTATTCAAAAATTACCAAAATTGTTATTGTCGAAATTCTTTTTCGCCCCGTATCTTCGAAACAAATCGCCCTATCAAATATCATCGAAGGACAAAATATCCTCAGAATAGTCCAAGGAATAGTCTCCTAATTTTTTGTCGCATGTTCAATAAACGCCCTGTAGAAGACCAAACCTCTGACATCCACCAAGAAATATGAAGTTGAAACAAATTTCCATCTTTTTCTTGACAATGAATCGATTGACTGGGTGAATTCAGCAACAAATTTAGGTGTATATATCGATAACACTCTCTCGTTCAACGAGCACGTTAAACACATTTACAAAACTTGCTTTTTTGAACTGAAATCCTCATACAAGTTCAAGTTCCAGCTTTCTCAAGAAACAAAACTGAAATTAGTTCAATCATTGATTTATCCCCATATTGACTATTGCTGCTCAGTGTATTACAACTTCTTGCCAGACTATAATAAACACAAACTTTAACGCATACAAAATGCTCGTATGAGATTTGTGTGCTGCATAAACTACCGTGATCATGTGACTTCATATTTATTGAAATTAGATCAGCTGAATATTGAGTTTAGAATTCGTCATCTCATATCTGTATTCTTATATAAACTATTGGAAAGCATAACTCCTAATAACTTGTTCAGATTAATTAGTAAGCGATCTGATAATCATTCTATCAATTTATGAAAAGATACATTCACCATTCCATATCATGTTACCACCAAATTTGAGGGATGTTTTTCTTACTTTGGTATCTAAATAATTCATTACCGTATATTCATTTGTCTATATATCAATTCAAAAAAAAACTTTTAGAAAACTTTTAGATGTTCAAAAATGATTGTAATCTTTTATATTGTCTCCATAATAGTTTTTTTTATATTATTTTTGTGTCTTAAATGAGCTGTTAACGTCGTTGTATATGAAGACATTCTGTAGTATATTTAGTATCAGCATTACACCGGTGCGGAGCCGAGGCAGGTCACTAGTAAAACATAAAGAAAAGCCACACGTCGTGGCTTGTGAGATTTGTTGTATTGTGTAGTTATTCATTTTCGCGCTTGAAGTATCTTGTTCATAGAAATAGTTTCATTTACCAATTAATTTTTGGATGGTAATGGTTATTTATCGTCAAGATGCTCTAAGTAATTATGTTGATGAATGAATGGTGGTGACTGTTGTGATCGTTTTTCATTTCACCACTAGAGTTCAAGTAGAATTCATCATTTGACTTCGACAGCATAAGCCTACATTCAAGTCTAGTGATACTATTTTGAACAGTTGCATTGGATGTTTATTAGCCCAGCTTGTTTGTGCATTTCTTGGATTCTGTCAAGCTCATATATTCATAGTTGATTTTCTTTGAGAAAATATATATTTGATCATTAAGTGAGTGTTGAGTGAGTTTTTCTTCTTCATCTATTTTTCACTTCATATATAACGACTGTTTGGCCCTTGGTTTGGACTACCTATCATGCGCGTCCCTAGTCCCGGATAGGGGAACGCCAAGGAGACTGAAGGCCCTGCCGGGAAGCCAATGTGGTCTTATGGACGGGGTCGCCGGACTCCTGGCAGAAATAAGTAGGGTGAGGGGAACTAAAATCCCTCAACATTGTAATTGTAATCATCCTACCTCTGGTAATGCAGGGCTCTACCAGAGGTGACCAACTCACCCCTTGCTACTCGTGAGAACATACATAAATGGAATAACACAGAAACAGAAACAACAAAAACAAAAACCAATTCCCAGTCTGGACGGAAGTGCTCACCTCAGTCTAAGGCGGTGGCTGGGGAAGAATAGAAATGTCCACCCCAATTTACCGCTTGGAGTGAGGCTGGACATAGCAGATCACCTCCAACAGCAAGGGCACTCCCTGCGATGGACGCCAAGAGCTCCGTCTTGAATAAAGGCAAAGAACCGGCTGGTCCTGCAGGAAAACTCCCATACTTATACACCTCCACGGAGGGAACCCCAAGAAGGTTGAAGAAGCCGCACAATGCCAGTAATATCGCTACATTTTCCAAAACCTTCACGGATGCCACCGTGAGACACACCAAGGTTGCTAAAGAGAGTGTGTTCGGCGAGTCTTGGCCTACACCTGTCAATATAAAGGAGATGTCTCCTAGTGACCTGTTACCTTCCTGGAAAGGACAGGATGGACGATGACCTAGGAGGACAACCACTTGGGAGGATGTATAATGGGTCACATGTGGCCTAAGTGCTATGAGTACACACTCACCCTCCCTACTCTACAGATACCAGATACAGAACGACTGTTTGAACCATGCATTACTGTTGTTACAGCCATGACTGTAAAACAACTCTAGAAAGTACCATGCAATACAATAAAATCAATTTTTCAAGTGTTGTGTTATGTCACAATTCAACTCGTCGAACCTACTAAATGAAGCGTTCGACTTATTTCATAAGTAATAGGAATAAAACCGAATCACGATTCAATCATTTTCCAAGCCACTGAAAATAAGAATGGCCCTTTTCATGATATAAACTCGAATTACAGATCATTCATATGATACTTTTTATTCACTTTCAAACGGTTTATACAACTCATGGAACATGTTAAAAAAAAGTTTGCTTTCTCTTGTAGCAGAGGTCCATTAAGGGGTATTCTCCGGTCGCACTGAAGCTTGAACCACTGTAACAATTCCTTATCCAATTGCTCATAAGTAGAAGTCCTCACACGTTTGCATTTCAAAACATTCGCATTGAACAGCGACTCGATCTTATCTTCATTCTTTTTAATTGTGGATATTGTAGAATGGAATACGCCAAACTCCTTTGCGAGAGCTGCATTTGATTCACCGACTTCTAATCGGTGTCATATTGCACTTTTTTCTTCAATTGCAAAACACTTTCGCGTCACAGAATTCAGTTTGTCAATCTATTAATATCTTAAACCGGAGTCTCACTAAACGGTATATTTTCTCAATTACATGTAATGTTTCTTGGGATTGATAAATCCCTTCCTTCAATTATATTTAAGGTATTTGATTTTGTAGTTCTAAATGAATAGTTATGTCGTGTATTCATCCATGTACTTTCACTTGCATTTCAAAAATCATATAAATTTTTGAAAAATGGTTGTAAATAAGGTCGCAGTATTTTTTGAAACTAAGATTTTTCTTCGGAGTAGAAAAATTCAGGTGTTACTTTCTATTAGACGAACCATTTTCTCATAGAACCAAGGAAAATAATTCTTTTTTTTTTCAAAAAGTGTGAAGGTCTATTACACTTATAAGACAACTTTCTTCAGTCAATATCGTTATCAACACCAATACTTTGATAATCACCATTATACTCACATGATATTTTCATAATTTGATCACGATTCAACTATTTTGAACGAAAGCATTAAAAGGGAATAATTTTTTTTCAGAAATTCCGGGGCCGACCACGCTGAGAACAACAACTCAAACTTCTGCACCAACATCAAGAAAAGGTGAGTGTCCGTTTATATAAAAAAAGTGTTGATTGGGAAATATTATATTTTATGGTACTGATATTTGTCTCCTGGATTGGGTTGAAGTAGAAGATATGATATTTCAACACGACATCTTTCATTAATATTGAATTTTACTCGTACTGCATTCTCATTTTCCCACCAAACTTGATCAAACTTTACCAGTCTCGAAATAAATTCACTGGCGATATCTTGTTTATCTCCAAAAGACATTTTGTCGTCTGCACAGGATTCTTTGATCAATGTATTTTTCATCACAGTAAATGAAATGAATGAAATGTAAAAACCAAAATAGCGGAATAATTTTGTGTTTTTTCTTTCTATCTATAGTGATGAATATTACCGAAGTTTTTTCCCAACACTAAACCGTTATTTCAACACCATGACACCTGTTTCGATCACCAAGTTATCATCTTCAATATGACAATCAAACTAAACATACTTACAATGTTATCTTTATTTATACCATAGACACATCTTCTAGGTTCCTGCGTCTTGAGTGTCTGAAATTAATTTCAGAATATTGCCTTATCTACTAATTAATTTTACAATGTGTCCTTATATAATAGTCTGGTGAATCTGATAATTATAATATCATTTTAACAAGCAATATAGTATACTATTGGGTGTTGGTCCACCATCATTATTTATAATATTATTAGGTTTACTTATTTCTACACTCTCATAGGCATCTAGATGCCTGTTGTTGTTAACTTGTCTAACTAATATCAATGGACTCGAGTCTACGGAAGGATTTTGTTACAAAATATGATGGGTGACTGCTGATTTTTCAGGTGTTCTATATTTTGAGTGAGCTGAGTGTTTGTTATGTCTTATTTTGATATTTGTCTGTTCATAATATTTTGCATCGCAGTCCTTATATTCAATTTCGTAAATTCCAGACTTTTCCGAATTCAAGGATCTATAGTATTTGATTTGTTTTAAAAACCAACTTCATACCTAGTTCCTTGAAAATATTTCCAAAGTTCTTCGTGTATCGGTGGTACGGAACCGAGATATATTCATCTTGGTTTTCATCATGTTTAAAAGTCGAGATTTCGTTCATTCTCAACCTAAACTTTTTCTTCCTTATTATATCATCTACTATACCCTTCGAGAAACCGTTAATGGCTGCCATTTCCTGTATTGTACGTTTTTCTTTTGTGAATCTCTCATGTGTGAGAGAAAAAGTCAAAAGACGATGCACTAGAAAATTCAGCCCTCCACATTTGTGCTGTCCACAGTGATGTGAACTGTTGGGAATTTACCTGTACGTGCTCGTTTCCTCTTTTAATACATCGTATTGTAGTCCTCCATATTAGCTCATCATTACCAAAATGTCAAGGAATGGAAGTTGTCACCTATTTCCTAACTCATATGTGAATTTTATTGGTGGAAATCTGTTATTCAAAAAGGAAACAAAGTCCTCAATATTCGATTTTTTGTTATCGAATATCGCGAAAATATCATCCACATACTTCAACCATATCCCAGGAAAATACTTCGAGAGAAACGAATTCATAAAATTCGTTACTATGGAAATTATTTTTCTTCAATAATTCCCTGAGGTAAGGTCTGTGGATTTGGGACGCTAGGAAATAAGGAACTTACATCAAAAGAAACCAAAATCTCACTGCCTTGCAGAACGATCTTTTTTGTATTTTGTATGAACTCTAATAATAGGGAAGCCTAAGCGGTGATTTCGGGATTTACTAAGCGCGGCAGATTAATATACAGGGGAATACCTTGTAACCGGTTAAGTACCTCCACCAAATATGAGCTCCATATATAAGGCCGCCTGTGAGCAATGAAGGATCAGATCAGTAAACAGAAATTGATCATCAGAAATTCTCGAGCGCGTCAGATTAAGGTAGGGTGAGTTAATTACCTGCTAAAAAGTGTATATTCCAGTAATCTGACAATTTGAGAGAAAGGGGAGGACAGCAAAGTTGTAAAAAAATAACGTCATTTCGAAATTCTCGAGCGTAGCTATTTTTTTTATTCTGAAGGAAATAATTCAAGGATAACGAAAAATATATAATCTGATGATTTCAAGCCGAAATAACAAAAATTCGTCAATAAAGTTTATTGCGTGCAGCTGTGTGATACCTATATTTCCCTCTCCGAGTTTCTATTCCTCTATTGTTTATTCACTTTTTCTCTATCTATCTATCAGTCTCTCACTCCGTCCTCACTCCGAATTATGTTGCCATGACGCCATCACAGCTGATCACAGAGACTCGTTCGTGATGAAGATTCGAAACTTGTGCGAGCTGAGGATTAACGAGGTCTTACCTTTTAACGTGTGATTCCTAACTAGGGTTGGACGATAGCAAGTGAAGATCGATCGTTCAGACTAGGGCTTGAACCACCGACCAACACGGCAGTCAATTCGAGTGAGTGAACAAAGCACCCACGCCGAACCGCTTGGCTACCGACCGACCATTGCACATTATAATAATGGCCGCGAGTTTGCGCCAGATCTAAATCGTCAGATTATTGAATTAGTGCTTTTTTTTTGTTGCACTCAACACCCCCTCAGAAAATCTGACACGCTCGATCGAATTTTTTTCTTTTCACTTTTAACTCTTACATACAACCACCCACATCATGTAAACGATGAGATTAACATACCAATATTATTAAAAATACGTAGGACATCAATGGTATCAATATCTGACGCGCTCGAATTTGTCCATGCAACAGGTATATATTATACAACATTTTTTTCTTCTTATCATCTGAAATTTGCAACCTAATATGTCTCAATGACGCTCCCCTGCTTTAAGGAGATTTTTATACTACAACCTGGTTCCGCAATAGGTAAGCCTTCAAACGGTGTCAAAACTATACTCCCTATCAAAAATCCACAAACCGGGAAAATCAATGCGCCCCATCGTGTCAGCATAATGGCTCACTGAGGAATTTGCCATTATCAACATTAATGTTCTTTGAAATTTTCAATTACTCGTCCGTTTCTGACTTTCCTTTGAACATTCTAGAATTTTCAACATATTATAGCCAGGAGAGTAGTTGTTTTCTGATAGGTGTCAGTCCATTCACCTACTGTGTAGGGAGTTGAGACTGGCCTGAACAAATTGTTGATTTGATTTATAGCCAGTCTCCCACTGCTATATGTGAAAAGTTCTTTCCTTATACGAGGAATTGGGCAAATTTCGGATATGCAGTTGGTTACCTCGTTCACAGGCAGAGGGGGCAACGACAAACCTTTTGTTTGTTGTATGCTACAGCTTAGTTCGAAGAATAATACTCTGAAGGAATTTGATTTCCAATTATCGCAAACCATCGACTTTATGGTGATGATATACACTACCTTGCACCGGTCTGCAAGTGTGTTCCAATAATTGAAAATCAATGTCGGCAGTTGTATCGCCAACAGCATATGCAGGAATAACTTCTGTGAAGAATCCTGCACTGACACCTGTCGGATATAATTCAACGCCCTTCGTGGTATTAGCCAGGGAAGTAGTTGTTTTCTGATAGATGTCAGTCCATTAACCTACTGTGTAGAGAGTTGAGACTGGCCTGAACGAATTGTTTTTTTAGATGATTTGATATCATAAATAGTCACATATGAATTATATCAATGATAAGTATTCAGAGGCGTTTTCAGGTTGAATTCCATATGCAATTCATATTGTTTGCAACAAAGATCTACGATACTTGACTTCAACATAACATGACCATATCCTGAGTTTAAAAATAACTATGCAATTTTGTACCCTATTTAATACACTTGACATGAATCTGATTCAGTCCTGATTCATTAGAAATTTCCATGTGGGCATCTCCATAGAACCCAACATCAAAGTACCCGAAAAATGGTTTAATTTCAACATACCCGATTATTCCATCAAAATACATTCTGAATACAATCAGCCGAGCTTTAAATTTGAATTAACCCAACCTTGACAACAAACAAGCAATAGAAAACTGAATATGAATTATCAACTTCTCCTAATAATAATAATATTCTTCCAGACGGAGCACGAGGTGATCATAAAGGAAGCAAGAAAAACAGGGTTAGTCCTGGAGAAAACCTGGATGAGTCTAGAATATTAGGTATGTTCTGAAATTTTTGCAGTTTCTCATCTGACTCTTCTGTTTAATAATCTGGCTCGTGAGTCATGCATATTCATAAAATGACTAATAATGCCATCGAAATTAGATGATCTGCATCATTGAGTTGTTTTGAAGTTACACCGGTGACAATAACAAATTATTAGTCTTTTGCTGTTCGTGAAATATTCTCGTATTCCTACACAACAGTTGCAACCTACATCAGAATGGCTCAGAAAGGATTTCTTTGATCGCAAAATTCCATAGAGTCCCACTGAAGGCAAATATTAGGCATAATCTATGATAATCATGTCGATAGTAAGTCAGCCAAGAGTACCTAGTAGTCTTCAACAGCTTCAATGGGCATGGGTACTGCTGTTTGTACAAATAAATCATATTTATAAGGAAAGGTCTGAAATTCCGTTCATACCTATATCGCGACGACATTGCCTTCCTAGCATGAATATATTCAATACGGCTCAGGATACAGCACTTCCACCTGAATATTGACACACTGAAATTCCAAAATATAGTTTATCTATTGCCCGATCCAATTCAAGCAGGTTTTTTTTTGTTCATCTCCTCAGTCATGAAACCCATTTGTCTCTCTGACAAAACTCAGCTACAAGTAAAAATATTGTCGTCAATTGGTACTATCTCTTCGAAACCTGTTTTATATCATATCAGTCGCTGATATGATATAAAACATTTTTATGAGATATCTTATTGAGAAACAATTATTATTTTATTAGTTTCACTTCTATGTTTGTTTGTGACCGATTCCGTTGGACTCAATTTTGACTAACTCTAAACGGACATATTTATTTCAAACTGTGTACACCTATCGATAATCGATGACAATACAATGATTTTATAAGTGTATCTCATTATCTCATTAGTGAGTCATTCGCGGTTTCACCTTGATAAAACACACATCAAAATAACTTTGAGTAGAAATATCTGCCCTGGTCCGAATGCAGCTCCAATGGGACACCGAATCGACATATCCATTCCTTTACCAGGACGTCAGCGACGGTTGAGGCTTCCTGGTTGGGCAGGGCATAGGTTTCTGCCCACTTACTGAAGTAGTTCATGGCTACCAGGATGTATTTGTTCCCATGGTCGGACTCTGGAAACGCGCCGGCGATGTCGATGGCGATTCTCTTAAAGGTACTACCCACGTTATACGCATTGGCGCATTGGAGTTCTCGGTCGTATCCGAGGTCCGTTACTAGCAGCACATACAGCACATTTTCTGCACCAGTCCTTGACGTCGTCTTGACAATTAGCCCAGTAAAACCGTTGTCTCACTTTCTGAAGGGTCTTCGTTACTCCCTGATGTCCTCCAGTGACTCCATTATGGATTTCCAAGGTATGGGAGTTCCATTAGGCATAGTAGGACTTAACCGCTGGCGAATAACCTGCTACCTCCTGCCACGATGGTCTTTGATTAATTTTCTTCCATCCGATGACTAACCCAAGATCTGAGTCTTTCTCTTGGTCTACCTTGATCTTATTGTCCTCCCAGTTCTTGTTTACAGCTGTAGTTCTTCAAATAGCTGCATAGCTGCTTCCTTCTCTTCTGTTAGTCGGCAATGTGAGCAGTCATCGGGATATGGTCTCCGCGACAGGGCATCTGCGTTTTATACGGAGGCTTGCTGAATACAGGCCGACGATTGCCCTTTCTCATCGATCCCCTCTAGATTTCCTGCTTTGGAATTGGTTTTTTGAATGCCTGGATATTTGCTTCGCACATGCCCAATTTTACCAGTTCCAGCATCTTTTTTTTTTTTTTCTCCAGGCAACATTATTTTATTACCTTTCTAATGGTGGCCTCAATATCAGCAGGCATCTGTCTATCTTCCTCGGCAGTTCAAGCTTTGCTCCGGCTCTAGCAGGATTGTTTTGCAGCCTCAAACTCCGGAGCGCTTGCCAGTGCATCCACGAGATGTTTGGAATGAGCTAGTGTCGGGGCCTGCCTGGTTTATTGGTCGCGAAGTCCGACCTGCCTGAACTGCTAACCACTCCATTGCATTTTCAGGTGTAGCAAGATGTGTCAGACGAACCAATCGAGCAATGTCGGCTTCAAATTCCCGTAGAGTTCCTCCAGATTTATGGCAGCGGTTTTTCAGCTGTGAATGCTAAACGAGCTCTAGGTAGGCCTACCGATACCGTAGCTCAAGATGCTTTATAAGTTGGTCATAATCTTCCTATTCTTAAGGCGTGAGGCTTTGCAAAATATTCGTTGCTTCTCCAGGCAACGCCAGTGTTAATGCTACCGTCTTTTCTCCTGCAACCCATCTCCTCGCTCTGGCCGCAGCTTCGAATTATCGGCGATAATTTGCCCAAGGAGTTTCTCCATCGAACTGACTTTGACATCTTTCATTGCCTATTGAAGTTCTTGCATGTTAAAACTCAGTTCAGGAATTGAGTTTTCGGTAACAGTTTCTGTGATGTGGGCAGAATTAACGATTTGGTTTTGCAACCTGCTTATTATTTCCTTCATTTTGCTGATTTCTGCCTCAACTCTGCCTTTGATTTTTTCTACTTTCGTGTTCATTTCCTTCCTCATTTTGTCTATCTCTGTCTCGATGGTTCCTATCCTTTACTGGATTAAAATTTTAGCGGCAGTTCCAGCCTGCATTCTTTTGAGGTGAGGTCATGTGTTCGATGAGTCGGTTGGCGTATCACTATCATTACACTATATTAGTGGGTGTAAATTTGTTGAGAATGAACATATTATTATTTGTGTCTCATTGAAAATTTGTCATCCATTCATTAATTTATTTCCATTTCAGGTAACAATAAGATGTTTACAAATACTGAACGAAAGTTTTTATTATGGAGGACAATAACATTTTTTCAGGTTTTTTCCTACAATCTGAACTTTGCACAATTGTAATTCATTCCGATAAGGTACTACATAAATTGTAAATATTTGATAAAAAGGATACTATTTCTTTTATCAACAAATTGCCGTATTCAATTATTTTGTCTATCAAAAAACCTTGTAAATAATACAGATACTTATGTTGTTGGCGGCAGAAATCTGCCCACGTCTTCAAAATTGGAGAAATCTAATGAATCTTACAGTTTTTCATTTGGTTCGTTCCATTTCCAGAACTTCCTCAATATACGTCAAAGGAGTTTCATATTTCTAAGATTGTGGAAGATGAAAATACTCAGAAAAGGTCGATAAAAGTGTTGAAATTTCATATACTCATATTGTTAATTTTCTCTTTATTTTTATATTATTTCCACTTCCGACTGCCTCATCCAAATATTTTTTCTAGGAATTTCGATGTTTCATTCAGCTATCTTTTATTGAATTTCAAATCGATTAACACATTGATAAACGTGCGGCAAAAATTTAAGGGACTATTATTCTAAGGATATTTATTTGGTCGTTTGATGATATTTGATAGGTTGTTTCGAAGATCCAGAGCGAAAAATAATTTCAACAATAACAATTTATCACCAAAATTTACATGTGATCAATCAATTAATCAATCAAACATTTATTAAATCAATTTTCATTTACAATCACATTAGGCAAACATCATCATAAAATACTGGCTGATACAACAGGTCAAACTCATTTAAAAAAAAACCAAATACAAAGCATAACTTAAATAAAAATAAAATCACTTAGCTACAATCAAATTATGATTCAAGGAGAAACTCATCCACAGAGTAGTATGCTTTCTACAATAGAAAAACCTTGAGCTGCCTTTTAAAGACATTGATGTTTGAGGACTTAATGTCATCACTAAGCTTATTATATAGTTTAATCCCACAGCACATGGGGTGATTCTTCGATACTGTCAATCTACTATAAGGCTGATAAAGTTGAAGGTTATTTCTGGTGAAATGTTCATGGATTTGCTCATTTCTAGGA